TGATAAGATGGTCCTTGTCAAGGAAGTGGCCACGACATTTCCGAGAAAAAGTGCCTCACGGATGTAGTGGCATTACTCCCGGTCGTGTACCTGCGCATCGTCGGAAGCGGAATCAGTAATCATAGGAACACCGTGAGCAATCACAGTTTTCTTATGTTTATTTTTCTGTCCCCCTCTCTGTTAGTTGGAGCCGCTGCACATTCTTTCCACGGGATTTCAGGTAGTAAGCGCACTTCATTTAAGGCGTTGCGGAGTCGATTCGCCGACAGCAGAACGTCCTCTGTCTCATTCAACGAATCCAGTGTTATCCGAAGTAACCGGGGTTCACCGCAGTGCAATACGTTTTGGTGACGCGATTGCGTTTTATTGTCGTGGGACCAGCATGGAAACCGATTGCCGTACAGATGAAACGTCATTGATTTCGATCGTCTGGCAGCCTACCCTTAATTGTATTGGATTTAGTTTCGGGGACATTAGTGCACACAAGGTTTAAGGCACCATGGTTGCGCTCGATGGCCACTGGTTTTGGAGCCTTAGTTCCAGGTGCTTTTGGTGAATTTGTGAACAGCATTGATGGGGCCATCGGTGCTGCGACATTTTAGTTTTCTCTAGTCTGGCCACCAAGGTTACCGGTGCAATTTCCGGGGTTTGCTTGGCGGCAACCGATGCGTATGTTACCTGGTTCCTCACTATGGCTGGTTGACTGCAGCTTAGGGTCTGCTGTATAGCGAACAAACTACTAGGTGTGACACACTGTACAGAAGTTGAAGCAGGCACGCTGCAGATAAGATTTTCACTTATGGGAGAGAGAGAGAGAGAGAAGGGTGTTGGTACTGATTGAGACGAAGTTGTCGGGGTAATGTTGGTACGCCTGGCTCTCTTCTTCGGCCTGAAGGGTGAATTTGTGGTTTTTTCTCATACAAATGCAGGCCCGTTTTCTCCCACTAATGTAACCCTGGCGCCCACCAGTTGCTCGACTGCCTCTGTTAGTCTTTCGCACTTCTTCAGTAGCACAATTAGACAGCTAACAACTGGGATAGCACTGCACACTTGACAGAACCAAAACAACTCTGTCTTGCCGTTGTACCTTCCCGTTTTTATTGGCCCCATCCCAAAGCATTTAATGTGCTAATAGTTCAATCACATTAGCCCACTCTTCAACATTCTAACACATAATTCACATTTGCTCTTAATATGAGACATGTTCGCCGAGGGCGTGAAGTTTTAAGATCACCCGTATGTCGGATGATCAGTTAGTCAGCTTCCAGCGTCAATGAGAAGCATGAGTCAGCACGGCGCGCCCGCTGTGAGCGGTGATTCCTTGTAAACACACGTTGCAGTGTTAGTCGGTTGATCGATCGAGGTTAGGCCCGGCTGGTTTGGGATCTAGCAAATGAAGCAAAACACGACGCTGAACACAGATTGAGAGATCACAAATTCCTTCACAGATGCGTCAAGAAACACCCGACTTGAATAAGCTTAGGCTTTTCGGACTGCCTCGAGAATTCTGCACCCAATGGTGTTACACAGAAAGGCAGTGGGCACAGGTAAATGCGTTATCCGCTTGTGTTCAATCACGGATGACAGTCAAATCCGTTAGCGATGGTTAGGACTTCAGTGGTAAAAGGTAATTCCATGTATGATGGATCACTGTGTAGAGCTGGTAAATCCGGTTCGAATAAGCGTACGGTAACTACGCTGCGAGAAGCTAGAGAGAAGCTAGAGAGTATTACTTAAAATGATCCGGGAGCACGCACGGCAAGCCTGTGCGTGTTGATGACTAACCATCACATTACTTTCTGGAACTGACTAAGAAAAAATTGTTAACAGCTAAACCAGACGTGTTTTAACTGGCTAAGGTTTTTGAAAAACTTAACTTAATAAGTAAAACTTCAAGGCAAGTTAAGTAATCTCATCTCGAGTAAAGAAGCTATTATTACATTAAATAAATAAATAAATTTGTATATTTACTGACAGACGGTACACGGCCCCATAAGTGGGAGTGATCATCTACTCAAAAAAGCTGGAAGTGTATGATCAAAACATCGGATGTCGGGAATTTTCACAATTCCCAATGCTCGCTACATTCACGGAGGAGCTAAAGGATGAAGACTTGATTGTTTATGTCCGTTATTTACAACAACTCCGAAAAGAAATGAAAGAGGGGTTTCATGATTTGCTTGACATGGAAATCCAGGTTTTGATCTTAGATCCTTTTGATGTACAGCTCTGCTATGTTGGAGTTAACATCCAGCGAATTCTTATAGCACTTCAAAGTGAAAAACTAGCAGGATCCAAATTCACGCGATATAAAAGAGATATTTAGATACAGACTGACTCCCCTAACATATATCCCAGACTGTGGGAAATAGCTGAAAGATATCTCCTTGTTTTTCAGCCCATAGTTGGTTGGATGTGGGTTTAGCAAAGTGGTTTCTCTAGTAAAAATTAGAAACAGTTTGGTGGTCACAGCAATAGGAGATATACTGCTCTCTCTGTCAAGTCAGGAGCCAGATATAAGTAAGCTTGCTCAAAGACATCAGGTTCAATGTTTGCAGTTGTGTTTCGACAAAAAATATTGCCACGAAGTTACTATATTTTAATCCATCACATGCTTTGCAGTCAAAGGTTAACAGCAATTAAATACGATTTTAAAGATTAGTGATGACTTTGCTGCAATTACAGATGGATGGTTTGATTACGCTGCACAATGGATGTTAAGGCTATGAAAATTCAAAAATAGGTTTATAATGAAAAGAGCAGTGCTCAGCATTAAAAATGTAGCCCTGATAACAAAAAGCGTTAATATGATCATTGGAAATCACAGATTTACCTCTGGCGTTTCGGATTGCTAAAATGGTGGTCATCAAGGGGCATGAGAAATGGAAAACTTCAAAAGGGGGCCACGGTTGAATAACGGTTGAGGATGTCTGGTTCAAGTAATTGAAACTGATAATGGAAAGATTCAATACGTGAATATTCTGGCGCGTCATACGAACCCATGAAAATCTGTTGCAGTTAGCCAGGCAAGGGTGATATCGCCTTGGCTTCCTTTCCGATGGTTCCTAGTCGATTTCCTTCACCCGAGTCGCCGGCTACCAACACAGCCACGTGTATTATTCGCGGCCTGCAGCAGCAAGTCAACGCAACCTAATTATTCACTGCTCGTTTTGGAGTACCTATAATGTGTTTGTGCTGCAGAATGCATTTGTAAGTTGGCATGCTACACCCTACTTTGCAGCAAGCTTCGATAATTCCGGTTGCTGGAACCGCACACGAAGTGGGGAGTTCTCCGTGGTTCATACGTTTAACACCGGGTTCCAAGATCTGGTTCGTCTTTCTTTAAACACTTCTGGTAAGGATAACAGGATCTGAGAGTGTAACCCGGCACGTAGTGGTTCATTACTGCCGCATTGCTCACTACAACATTGAGCTACACGAGAAAGGCTTGACAGAGCGGTTACAAACCCATTGTTGACCACATGTGTTACTGTTTTAGGGGCAGTTACCTGAAGGCTTAATCTCCGATGCAATTCTACTTTTTTGCTCTATTTCTGGCCAACTCATATAGGAGTGTATATAATCTCCTTTACTCTAACCAGTGCTACAATGCATCTCGGGAATACGTCGATGCTACTCGAATCCACTCAAAATGGTCACTTCTGCATGGTCCATGCACCCAGGAACGTCATAAAATCTCATGTTAACTATTCGAAAACAACGTTGCATGAGCATCAAGCACATAATTTATTGATTACCTTACAATCCTTACTGTGTATGAGCATGAGGGCGTCACACCCATGCACAAAGGTGTCAGTCGTGCTGAACCCGCTAGGTACCGTGCCTTTGTTCTCCTCCAAATAATATCCAGAGACATAAAGGCTGTTATCGTTTAGGCACTCATAAGCTATTTGAATAAATATAGTTCCACTGTTCCGGAACAGCAATTATTTCGCCATTATGGTTCCCGTACAACGAATTTTCTAATACCCCGTACGATTTGATAGTAATAGTAATAATAATAATTTATTCCCGAATTTTTACGAGAACTGAAACTGTCGGTATTGGTTTAGGATTTGGGCCCATCCATCTGGATCCCACAGTCATTTGACCGTCTGATCATCGGAGTATTTTTCAAAAGCTTCGAGCCTATGAAACTGAAACCAGCGTCCCGGGTCGTATAGGTAACTTCCTCCAACTGCATTTGAGTGTGAGAGTTAGCGACGCTATATTCGACCCGAGAGAAGTTCAAAGTGACTTATCAAAAGACTCGATATTGGGACCATATCTATTCTCGATGTTCACAAACTACCTCACCATTAATTATTTCAAACTTTCTACTGTTTCCTGATAATCTCAAGATCTGGTGTGTGTGTGTGTGTGTGTGTGTGTGAGCTACGCGGATTCTAATCGCAAGACGAGGCATGTAAGAAGCGTGCCAAATACGGAAGTAGGGGGGGGGGGAAACAGTTAGATCGCCTGAACCCAAACGTGTGGTGTCAAAATTTACAAAGGATGGAGGGCAAGTAAGCAGTGGCAGACAGTAGTGTATGCAACGTGACTCACGGGGCGACCAACTGGTAGGTATGGACGATCGGAAGATAGAAACAAGAATAAAATCCAATGTGTGAAAATACTCTGAACGCGTGAATGATTCATGTTCACCACAAGTGTCAGGGCACTGCAGAGAGACCTCGACAAGGCTTAAATGTATGGTCAAGACAAAACGTGTGTTATTATTTCCCTCTTCATAAAAGCTGGTTAGGCAATTTGTATCCGCGCTCTGGTGAACGTCAAGTGTGCTTTGGTCTGATAGCACGTTTGTCCCTAACTTTACCATCCTCGCCTCACAGGACCTGTCAAGCTCTTGGTTCATTGATCGCTTGCATTGTTTTTCCACACAATGGTCTTTTCATGCACTTCTGCTCTGCTTTATACCCGAATCGAAACCTTAGTGTAACATCTATCCCGTTTCTGTTGGTCAATGTTATTGTGCACAGATAACCGGACAAGTGGACTGTTGCTTTATACACAGCCCAATTACGCAACTGCCGGCTCTGAACAGCAATGCCTGTAACAGCACCTACCACTTTCCGCTTCGACATCGGGGGGCTGGCACCATCAGGAGAGAAGTGAAGATGAAATCGAAACTCGCGTTAGTCAAAACTATCGGGTCACGAGGAATCGCAAAGAGGCCAGTGAAACTTACCACTTGCCTCTTGCCCATAAAGGAGCGTAACTTGGAGTAAGTGAGATGCAAACCATGTAATACCACACTCTTCTCCGCGAAGTAATCAAGAAGCGGTAACTTTGAGGTGCAGAATGTCGAAGTTTTCGAATACCTTTTTCGGAGATTTGTTAAGTGACACATGCGTTCTAAACGTTTCTAGCTACACTGGTTAAGAAGGCATCGCATTGATACAGGCGAACAATAGCTAAGTCTACTGTTTTGACTTCTTGGATGGTGCCTAAAGTTATTACAGTTGTGCTGGCGGAAACTTCACACGCTGTAGGCACCGATACCCGTTGAGTGACATACATTGTTTCCTTATAACCAGGGGACCGAAATGACTAGTTTAGGACACTTCGTTCTCTTCAGTAAGATGAGTATGAAGTGGGAGGACGCAGAATATGAAATTCATGCATTTCGCATTGTCTTCTCAGTACCACTAACAGTGGCCGCTACCTGACACAGAGAGTGCGAGCAAACAAGCTTCAGGTGCAAAAGTTCATTGGGATAAAGTTCATTGGATAAAGTCAGATTTGTGCGGTTAAGAGGAAATAGTTTTCAACGGTAGGCGGACAAGAACTTAGAGGATGAAATTCCATCATTCGCTTTCCACATCGAGCTTGTTTGTCCACATCCACTGTTAAGTGTATACAGGTATGTCGGTTTATGTTAGTGGTATTGAGGAGATATGAACAAAATATATACATCTACCATTTTTCGTCTTCTTACTCTGATTTTTGTAACAACTCTGGCCTGCTATAACGGTCCAGTTTTAAAGGTTCACTCAGTCGGAAAGAACGCGCGGTTCCCGTGAGTTCTACTCCGGAGCAAACGGTAAGGCCTTGTAGAAACTGATTACCATGGGCGCGAAGCACAACGCTCGCCAGTGACACGCCCAAACTCAAGAGAGGGAGAGAAGACAGACCTTCAGTAAAGCACATTTACGACCCAACGAAGACGAGCATAACGAAGCACAGCCTCGTTATAAATACCGATGATGGCAACGTAGGTGAACTTCCACATTGCGCTGCCTGGGTTGCCCAACATAAGGAAACGGGGGTCGTAGTGCTACAATATATATATATATATATATATATGATTTGAAGGCGTCCGTATCCGCGTTTGCCTGTCACTGTGGCCTCCATGGGGACAATCACAGGACGCCTGCGACTACAGAGGGCCATGGGTGGCTTGCGATGCACCACCCACAGTTCCGCCCACACACCCCATATCCGGTGTAAACCCGAAGGAATAAGAGCGGGAGGCATGTGGATGGGAGCCACGTTTCATCAACGGAGCCGGCCCACACTCCTTCAACAAGCAGAACAGAAGCATTCCGACCTAATTGGGAAATTATGCACACCAGACGTACACATGGCGGTGGCTGGACCGTAGCCCGTTCCACACAGGTTGCATGGAACCACTCTTTGAGCCTAGCACCGTCACAAGGACGGTGCACTCCGTCCCCTCCAGCGACGACCAACTGTCTCCTGGAGCCAGTATGGACGAGGTAGTGGGTAATAGACAGGTAGGCACCTTGTCAACATTCACATCAAGCGCATCCACACTGAGGAGCTCAAACAACATCTACTTCTGAAATGCAAGATTACTCAGCACGCAAGCAAACGTACCACATACGCCGCCTTATTGGCCTGGATTAGTAAATCGAATGGGAGCGTACGCATCATGCTTCTATTCCGCGTGCAATAGTACCTTCTCCTGCACCTGAGCAACCGCCCTTATGATCAGTCCACGGAGTTCGCATCGATCAAATTTGCTTTGGATTCGCAACACCTGAAATCAACATGAGTTTGTCATAAACTCACCTTCTTCATGTTCTGGTAATGTTATTTCCGGTTTGCTCGAGTGCCGTTTCCCTGCACTAAGCCATACAAAAGCAGTATGAGTATCCTCATCGAATTCATTCGGTATACATATATACATAGATTGGCGTCATCCGTGTCCAATAGCAGTTCGAATACAACATACGCCCATGCGTTTATCCAAACTTAAGTGTGAGCTGTCACAAACTGGATAGAGACACATTAGACATCATCATCAATGGTACGACAAACTATATGGGTTTCGTTTGGAGGTCAGGCTAACAACCAATTCCGCAGGCATGAGAATAACTACCCAATACGAACTGTTGATGTTTTCTTCAATATTTTGACGTGACAGCCTTACATATTGGGCATCCATATTTGAAGCAATTCGATGTAGCAATAGTGAAGCAAGTGCTAGGTAGAATGATGAATAAACTACTGGTACAGTGAAATAGTGTGCACTTAGGTGGTGCCCTCAACATGTACAGTCTAGTTTGAGTAGCTGATGGGGGAGATCACACAGCATGCGAATGCGATGCAGTGTCCACTTCTGACTCTCTGTGTCTCCGACCGGTTCGGTCATGTGCTGCCCGAGGTATGTGCACCTACTCAAAGATTGATGCGCAACATTTGGTATTGGTAGGTGACATCAACTAAGTCCCACTGCCCACTGTCAAACATGCGACTTTCCAAACATTGTTCGCATTTATTGTGCAAATGTCCAAGTACTCAACCGTTTGTACCTACCGATTGTACTCTACTGTGGCCATAAGCTATTTGCTAACGATCTATATCGTACGTTTCGGGTGCAGCCATTCGGCGCTCATAAAACCATTGTCGCTATGCGCCGATTCATTTCCGATGTTATATACTAACACACTGACGTACCATTCCCGTTAGATGCAACCTTTTACTTAATCCATCCAAAAGATTGGCCATGTACAATGCAACTTCCGGTAGGCGTCTCTGCACGTCTGCCTTCCATCTGGTTAGTACGTGTGTTTTCATAAGCCCCCGTAAATTCAGTATGGCTGAGGGATAACTGGAACTATAACTATACTCACTCTCATCACTAGCCTGCGGAGTGGAATATGAAATGACGACATCGTGATCATCGCTATTCGGTTAATTGTCGGGATTGTTCACTTGACACAGAATTTCCAGGGATATTTCTCTTCGAATGCATAATTCAATGTGGTCACACGAGGGACAATCGTTGAGCATTGTGTTCCAAACGTCAAACTTGACACTTTATGCGTACTGTAAACGGCCAAGCGATGATAACCTTTTGATTCAAATGTATCCATCGAACTGGAAACATACACAATAATTTGCCACCCTAGCATTGATCGGTAGCAAGCATACAAATCGCTCGGAAACACCACGCGCACGTCAATTACGAATGAGCTCATGGATGGATTGAACCATCATTCTGCGATGCACCGGCTCTCTAAGCATCATGCTAGTTAGCATTGAGCAGCTGGTCAAGCTACGGTTATGGTGAGTAATACCATGGAGCTGACATAGTGATGTGAATCGCGGCCGAATAATAATACGAAGAGGAAGATGCCGTAGCTCACTGTCTCGGTATGTAACCATACTAGACTCCGTTTGAGAAGGTAGCAAGAATAGCATAGCATATGTCATGATGAGTACAATATCGTAATGGGCAACATGTGAAGTCATCGAGAAATACAACCGAGTTAAATAAGCCTAAAATAGTTAGGTTACCTGTGGCTCATCCGTTCTAGGTATGTGCCATAAGGATACCACATTGCACCAAGTCAGTAGTTAATCATCCTAGAATGAAAATGTACCCAAACGCAACTTATATGTGGGATATATAATATGGATGACACAAAGAAAATGACGTAGATGGAGTAAGCAACTTTCCAAGTTAGCAGGGAAATAGTGCGATTATGTCCACTGCAGGCTATCCGTGTCGTAAGGTAAAACCAGAGCCCGTTATAATCATCTCTTTTCCGAGGTGAGCGAGAATCAACAGGAATGTGGAACCACCAGACAGTCCGTCATGTGTTACTATTTATTTCCCCCTGCTCATTCGCTCTGGCCGCTAGCATCTCGACCAATTCATCAGTGTCTAGAATACTAGATATGTCCAAACATTTCGATTTGGATGTCACAACGTATTGCCGCTGTTCCGGAAGCAACCTTGATGACTTGTCTGAATCTCAGTGTGTTTACCTGAAGGCGGCAGTAGGACAAGGGGACGTATAGATGGGATACATTGATCTGATATTGCAACTCCTAATAAGTCACGGTGTCACACAAGAAGAAATGTAATAAGATCTGTCTGTCAAGTGGGAATGTATCGAGACAGGAACAGATGTTAGCGGGATTTGTACTTTAGACGAGTCCCATTTAGACATCTAGCCAGCAGATGATGGTGTTACGCGAGTGAAAATGTCATCAGTCTGAAGTGTGGTGCTTATAAGTGTTTCTAAATGGCTTCCACTTAGTCATTCAAACGTGAGATCTCAGTTGACATAACAAAGGTCCCTGGTTCGAGTTATACTACTGCAATGTTGCGAACGGACATTTGTTCACACTTGTGTATGGACTACCACAAACTGGATGAAGAAATACTAACCGTCATGAACCATAGCACAACGTACGTGCATGAGTTTAGATTGAATGAAAGAATAACAGCCATATCGCGCTAGTTATAGAAAATCGCACGTAGAATTATAAGTAACCAATACGACTGTCAGTGGTTAGTTAGCGTTTGGATGAGAACCGAAACGACAGCCTTAAGTTTAGTCAGAAGTGTGGGTATCAACAATAGATTGAGAGAGATATGGAAATACGGAAGCAAATGCCGTGAGTATGGTTACCAGGTAGAATGACGCACAACTACAAAATGTACCGTAAAATACAGATGACTTATGGTTCCTGTGTATTGTACATGCTGTCTTGCTATAAGCGTTAGTAGACGATAATATCATACATTTCCTGATGGCCCCCTTGACGCTATCACATCGTCAACATATGTAGTAAATTCCGCTGCTCCCTGTTCTATCATCGGCTTTCGAAAGAGTGTGCAAACTGTTTTAGCAAATTTACAAGCAGTATCTTCCACAACATATAATTATCTAATATCTCAAATGAGTATGTCGTCGGACACCTGGGCACGATGGTATCTTCACAGCGGGGTTTGGAATGGAACCACTTAGACATGGCTTGAGAAAACAATGAACCAGTAAATCTCCATACCCACGGTGTGACCTGCAATGAAAACATTGGGCATTGCATACTTAATCATATGAGGGTAGACAAATAATGGATATCAAGAGCCTCAGATTGCCTACCTTCGTCAGATTCCATGTTCGCGCAGACCACCGGCTTCCTCGATAAGCAAACACCTGTTAGACTCGGGTCACCAATTAGAGCTGGGCTCAGCGTTAGTTATAACATACTGTACAATAATGAAACGAACAAGAAAATACAGTTGCAAAGAAGAAATGTACAAACGCGCAAGTTAACGCATCGTGGTTCTGTTTAGCGAATTTCGGTGTGAGAGTTGTGGCTAGTAACTTGGGCTGTTTAGGAGGCGCAACTGGAGTTGACGATGAAAGCTGTGTCGCACCTCTTGAGTTCGGCCCAGAAGATGGACGTAAGTTGGTCGCTCGCGGTGTGTTTAGCAAGGCGACCGATGTGTACATTATCCGTATTTGCTCTGCACCGGAGTGCCTCCGGCGCTAGGCTGCTGGCGCCATGACTGAATCTTTAGGTGTAGCTTCCATGAATAGGGTAATAGCAATCAGGTCGAATGTGACTTGCCTGATTAATGGGTTGGGTGTGTTAGAGTAAGTGGCGCCGATACTGCGGGGCGGTAAGCAAGACTGCTTTTTCTCGTTGACCTATGGATGGGGCTCAGAGGGTGTTGGTGGGGACAGGATCGATTTTTTCGCTTCCAATGGGAATGCATTGAGGCCCGCCATCAGCTCACTTGTTTCAGTTAATTTTCCGAACTTTTTATAGACACACAAGCACCATTGATAATTGGAATAGCTCTGCACACCCGGCAAAACCGGAGTGCGTCGGTTACTTTGTTGAGCCTCTTTTCTGCTACTTGACTTACGCCACCACACTTCACGTGGAATGCAAAGGCCCAGTTTGAGCAGGTCAGACCAGTCCTGACCACACGGGTGTTTTTCAATTCACCACATTCATCTCTAAGTGTGAACATTTTAAGTGCCAACTGTTGTTGCAACCGAACACTACACCTGTTCGACCACGTGAGGTAGAGCGTGAGCGATCCTCAAGTTCGCTGTCGTAGTCTACCTCGGTTATCGAAAGCGGGTTTGTCACGAGAATGACGCATACGCACGTGCAGTTTGGCTTCCTTATCGGTTGGCGGTGGTTTGTGTATGATTAGGCTCATTAGCGTGCCTTGTAGTGCGTGGATGCCAGCGATTGGGTGTCACCGATGGGCGAATATAAGCCAAAGTCACAACTTAGATTGCTTTCCTTGGAAATTGTCCTGTGCGAGTAACTTGGAAAACACCAGACAGCGCGGAGACTCCCTTATGAACTGCAATTTGCAGCATTGAGAGTTATTGAGAAAAACACAACTGATCATGAGAAATGCTAAAACAACTTGGGTTGCAGGAATCACGATCGGTGAGGAATAATTCCGTATAAAGATAAAGGTTAATCCGATTCGAACAAGTGTGTGATGGCTGCGATGAGTGAATATGGAATAGGGAAAACAATAGAGAGGAGTGCATTTTTACCGACTCACTCTGGAGTGCATGAGGCTTCCAAACAAACAGCGCCATGAGTTGAGTGTTCAGAGTTTGTGGATGGTGACGGAATTCTACCACGATTGGGCCGACACCCGATTGTTTAGAAATATCGGCACTAGACACAGATGCGCTGCCTGACACATACTGATCACTACAACCGATAAGCTGAGGTGGTTTATATTGTGCTACGGATTTCAGATGATGCGGTTCTACCATCGTCGTGTCACCTACACGTGTCCATTGACACTGTTGTATCGATGTCCAGCAAGCGTTGGTTGCGTAGTTTCGACTGATCCTAAAGTTGACCGATCATGCTCGTTGGCTCCTGTGGCTTCCCAGTCTGACTCGCATCTGGGGACGGCGAAATATCCTTTTAACGGTCAACCGTGGGCTGCATGATGCGAATACCTGGCCGTTGTCGCGCTTACTCCATTGTGGGCTAAGCACAAATGACCACAGATGCCTGGGTATTATCAAGTGCACCCGGTGGGATCCCTGGGGAAGCACCGCGATTTCCGCTATCCTGAGCAACCTTTGATTGCTTGGTGAGCCGGAAGCGCCTGTGTTATGCACATCACGTTCTTTAGGTGCCTTATCTATCGTAATAGCGCCTGTGTGAGTGAAATTCAGTGGAAGCTAGCCGTTGACACGCTGAAAAGCAATAAAAGCTTGGTTGGGTTAAGTAGCCGGGTTGGTTTCTGTCATCTTCACAAGCGGAGCCTCGGGGCCGGCCACGTCAGAGCTTAGACGACCTACTGGATGCGATGCAGCCCCGAAGTCAGTAGTGCCAGTTCATTGTCCCCCTGGCTATAACTTTCAACACTCATTTATTGTATTGTAGCAAATTTTCTGTGTCCATCTATCGCTACCCTTTTATTCTTTACTTTTATTTTAAAAAAATTGCTGTTATTGCCATTGCGACACGAGTTAAGATGCTTAGGTCCACCGCACTTTGGGCCTTAACTGAATTAGCATTAACTCCTTCGCATCGACTACCGTGTCCGTATGCCTCATAAATATCAGTTCTTTGCGATGGCGCTCTGCTTGCATTCATGTTCCCTCCACTTCGCACTGTGGCAAAGCTGCTCGACACACCGTAGGAAGTCGCACATACGGTATATCATCAACAAGTTTACTGAGTGTTGACGAGAATAGAATGCGTGGGTAAAACGACTTAATCGGCAAACTCTTAAGGTTCAACTGGGATATACATCACAGTACTGTAGAGTCCAAAAGCTGAATACGTCTCTGCGACCTATTCACTGATAATGCGGGGGGGGGTTATTTGTGGCGAAAAGGTGCACTTTGCATGATGTTGTCACAGACAGTTCAGTCAGTAGTGTTTAGCAGTTGCAGAGCTCACTTCCCATGCTTCCAGTAAGCTTGCACACAACCGCATGGTGACGTGGATTTGTCTAACGCCGAGGTCCACTGGATTGTGTTAGGCATGAATCTCAAAGAAGTCCCCCAAGGGCATTCTATACGGCTAAGTAACTTTGCCGTGGGTGTATACACGGTAAAAAATCTGTGGAAACTAACGTTTAGTGATATATAACTACTGGGTAAGCTAAAATCCGCGTGGAATCGAGTGTATCGGAGCTTTGTTTTTGATGTGCCACGTTCACTACCACCACGTGCGCCACAGTCCCCTTTCAGAATACAGTCGTGCAATGTAGAGACACGTCAAAGTAAATATTTTGGCTCTATTTTGTAATCCTCCAAAGACAGAACGAATGATGAATTTTGCACGATACTTGCTCACTGCAAAACGACATTGCATCAACAACCTACAGCCGGTTGTGCCAGCGCGGTTTACCACTGGTGTTTCATACACTTCGTCGCAGTTTCTCACCCTAAATTACGTTGACGGTATACTGCTCGCCTTCTGTTATTACAGCGAAATGTCGCTATAACAAACGGCAAAAAGCGGAGTGCTCACAATACTGAAATTATTCCAAGGCTCCTTACTTACTGTATATTTTTACTTCGTGTGTTGACTTGTCATGGGTTACCGAAATTTCACTATAACGAAACAATTTCAGAGGTTCCCACAATTTCGTTAGACTAGAATTTCACTATATACGAGCGATTTGCATTTTATCGTTGTTCCGGAGGCGGTTGCGTATTGTCCACACCGATCGTGTGACAGCAACTCAAACATGTGCTCGTGATTGTGTGTCTACACATCATTAACTTGTCAGCTCAACCTTCCTGAATTTCAATCAGCACCACAGTACTCGATAAGTTACTAAACTGCTCAGAACACCGTCAGAATAATTCAGCTAGTTCCTCATCGCCACTACCAATCAGCAGGCTTAGGCTAGTCTCGAAAAGCACCAGACGCCGGCGTTTCGACCTTCTGGGTCTCGTCAACGAAGCGTCTTTCAGCGGACCCTTGCCGCGTTCCGCCCCCATGACTTCAGGATGCCAGCAGCTAGTGCCACTTCGCCATGGGTGATAGCCGCGGACTTGCGTGATTGACAGTTGATTATGAAATAGCCCGGCTCACCTTCCAGTGCCACACCAGTTAGGAACTGTGCAGAGGACAGTGGCTAGCCTCACGATCTAGGACCTTCCGCGTAACGCCTATGTACCACATAGGACTTAGAAGCTATACGGACAGAGTTTATATTACTGATGAGTAGTAAGGAGGAGGTTGGTATATTTCGGCTAATTTATCATCGTCACTCCCAATCGGCAGCATTAGGCTAGTCTGGAAAAGCACCAAACGCCAGCATTTTGACCTTCTAGGTCTCGCCAGTGGTGCACATCCCAGCGGACCCTAGCCAGTATACTTTATTTCCCCATCTACTTGGCGCATTTCAGGGTATGATATATATATATATATATATATATATATATATATATATATATATATATATATATATATATATGCTCAGTAGCCAAGGGAAGTAACTTAGCATATTCGGCAGTTCGAAATTTACGCGCCGTAGTTCACGATGGTTTGAAGTTGTACTACTGGTTTTAGGTTGAACGAATAACTTATTTCTTGTGGTTTCCAAGGTGGACAGGTCCACTGAATTCTTTTCCATTGCGTCGGCCTTTGTCATTTGTGGTTGCGCTTTTATAATCTATTAATTTTCTTTTTAAACTTTTACAGAAACGCAGCGAAAACCTCGCAATATCAAGTGAGAGTCTGACAACCAAGCACATTCATTTACATCCATGTCTAAAGTGTACAGATAACACCGAACTGCTGTATGTATTCCATACATATGCTTCGGTTGCAGACTCATTTCCATATTCTTTTTCGGGATTGTACGTTGCTGGATTCAGGTTTGGTGGAAGACGGAAATACTTCTGTCGCAGTGTTGGTCACTTAAATGAATGCGATTCTTTGGAAGAAATCATCAACACAGCCATGATTTCCGTAAAGACAAACATCCAATGACTGGTAGTCTTCGACCAGTACCTGGATAGGATTGTTTACATCCGATGTTCGTCAGTTGCTATTTGTTGATAAGCTATCTGGTACTGTCCTGGATCGCCTGCTAAACCTGAATAAGTCACCAGGGCATTTAATGAATCCCAACGCAACTTGATTGAGTGAAATTGCAGGTGGAGTAACCGGTTGTGTGAAGAAAAGATATTTAGAAGTGACCGGGAAATATAGTTTCAGGTCAAACAAAGGCAAAGCAGACTTCCTGCACCAAATAGATGCACTGTTGATATTTACGCATTTACTTCGGATGCACTGGAAGCTGATATTAATTAAAAGCACAGATTGGCTGTGCGTCTGTCACCCTAGCAACCGTTCCCGTGACACACCTATGCCGTTGATGGTGAGTTTTGTTTCTCTTCCAGGCAAGAATGCATGTCTCAAGCCAGCTTCGCAGCAAGCACACAAAAACGCAATAGTATACCTCAAACTTACATTGACAAGTAAACGTAACAGACATGGTAAGATAGCATTACAGTGTGGGGAAGGGAGAGAAAATAAAATGTTAAGCTTCCAGCTTATGAAAGAATCAGACGTGTTTGTTCGGTCTCTATGTGATAGCTAATAGCGATAATGTAGAACCTTGGGAGAGAAATTGCTGCGATTGTTGTTGCTTATTAGTAATAAAACCCACAGAAAAATCTCTGGAATCATGCACTATCGATCTCATCATCGGTATGCAATTTTGAATACTGGTTAGAAGTAGAAATTAGAGATATCTCTGTAGCTGCAACAAAAATCACTCAGGTGTAAAGAGCTGTTGTGTTGGGGAACGTTCGTGATATCTTATATCGGCAATGATAGTCCATGAATTTCTTGAATTACGACACCAACTTTGCCTCAACTACATGATGCGGCAAGCTTTTCCATACATTCATCACTTTCCATTCGAAACAGAGTTGGTGGGTGACCCGCTTCAAATTAGGTACTGCAAGCATGTACCGGTGCCCTCGTGTGCTGCTTGATGTGCACATATGTAGCAGCGGTCTCAACATGGGGAAATCACCAAGACGAAATATCCGGTGCGCCATGACGAGGTCAACCCGCAATCGACGATAAGATAGGGTGTAAATCCCTAGTCTCTTACACCGGTCTTCGTACGGCACATCTGTTACTTGGGGATCAGCCTGGTGTCTATCTGCTGTACCCGCTTAATCCTTTCTACCTTGCTCCGGATAATAGGACAGTATGCGGGCGAGCCGTACTCAAACATTGGTCGTATTATTGAGCCGAAGAGGCGAGTGGCAATCTCTTCGGACCAATTTCTTCACCTACGCTTGAGCGCCCAAGCATATGAAGGCAGTTTTGGTAAAGCCTACTGGTGTTGTTCATAGATTTTAAGCAGTACAATAAGCAGTGCACAAGGAGTTAACACGGGTAAAAAATCAAGGGCTTGACAAATCTCATAGGGTGGTTAGAGCGAAAAAAATAGATCAAGGAATAACTGAATCGTAGTTTTAAGCGATTACAGATTTAACTGCACTGCTGTATAACAGTAGTTTGAAATAATACTTTGATGTGCGCACATAAAGTAATATGGAAGACAGTTTCAGTTCGCGTAATAGGTGAGAAAAATAAATAAATAATGGAAATGACAACGCTTACTCGTGTGCAGTTTTCTTGCGACAACGCGATAGTTAAATCCAGCAGTAGCGCTTAAAAAAGTATGCGCTCACTGAAAATGCCCACGTTAAATTGTGGGGCTAGTTTGACTCCTGAACATAGAGGATTATATGGTGTAATGTAAATGCATTAGTGTATCATCGAGACGTCCTTTGAATACCGTTAGTGTGGGGAAAGAGACAACGTAAATGGAGAGGGCGTTACATGTTTGACACAAATGAAGTGAAAAGAAATTCCGGCGACCTTCCAACCGGTTATGCTGTGTGGCTAACATTAGTTGGTGACCTCACAGACTGGTATTTTGATTCAGCTTCAAAAGATGACCAATACCTTTGTCTGGATTCAGCAGGATCATCATCAAATCGACATTCACGCGTCGAAATCTTCTCTGCAGACACCAAGTGTTTTCAGGCTTAGATGATAAAGGAGGTGAAACCGACGCTTTACGTTTCTTGGTCGCCGTTCGTTGTGGTAGTTCAACTGCAAGAGGTCATGCCTGTGCCAGGGATGCCAGACATGAATGGCGTACTCTGAATGGGCCTAATGTAGGCAGTGAGCACCCGAGAGAATATTGGAGTGTTAAAAGGCTTGAACGCTCACCGCAGAAGACCAAGGTGTTGATTAGCTTTTTGGATGTTTTCACGGTTTGACGTGAACAGCCAAGATCCTCTTGTACTATCACGCCTTGATCGCATTCAGTAGTAGCACGCTGCAAAGTTTGTTCCTCAAGCTTCCACTCGCAAATGGGCTGATGACGTATTCACAATGTCCTACATTTGGTGGCGTTGAAATGTAGCAGGTTCTGAGTCGCCCATTCGTATACCCTATCAACATCATCCTGAAGCGTTAAGTGGTCACTTGCTGTTTTGACGACCCACCATACCTTGAAATAACTAACGAACACTCACTCTCGCGATATCATTTACGTAAACCAGGTATAGGCGTGGACCAAGTACTGAGCACTATGGCACTCCGCACTAAACATCAATAGGGCCAGAGATGGCGCTGCGAACTCTCAAATTCAGATATCGTTGTGCCAGAAGGTTACCTGTTCACCCGAGAATTGGAAAACCAATTCCACAGCTCTGAAGCTCATGAATGCTGATGCGGTGGTTCGGACCACCGAACGCCTTTTAGAATTCTAGATAAACTGCGTCAACTCCCACACCACAGTTAAGGATTTAAGTCCAAACGGAGTGAGGAAGCAGCAGGCTTGTGGTGCCTGACCGGTTCTGGCAAAATCCATGCTGTTCCGATGCTATGATTTCGCAGGCCTCCAAGTAATTCGTGAGCGTTTCGGTAGTAACAGGTTCCATGACTCTGGGTAGTACTGGCAATAAACTATGAATTTATACGGATTAAGAAGCGTTGCTTTACAAGTCCCGTTGGATAGTTAGTGGGGATATCGAAATAATAATAATAATAATAATAATAATAATAATAATAGTGGTAGTAAAACAATACCTTAAATAAGAAAATACACTTATCGTTTGCTCATTCGTAGTCCTGCAATACGCTTAGATACACAGCACTCGCAGTTAACATCCAATGATTACATGGTAACCTCCAGGAGTAAGATGGAGAGGTAGCGCTAAGTGACAAAGCGTAAGTGGATGAGTGAGTCATCCAACCGTCAGGTAAATACTGTTAATGTCTGTGCAGAGGCGACCGATTCTGGGAGAGCATTCCACGGGTGACAGACATGAATGGAAAAAAAATTTCTGTGGCACTCCAGACGGCTATACTGCTCTGCGAGCTTCAATGAGTGGCCCCTTAGGGTTGTATTGCTGCTGAGTTGCAGTAAAGGGCGGCACACATGAGGTGGGTCTCGCAGAATCAAGTATGCCATAATCACGTCGCCTCGTAGTCTGCGATAGCTTCCACTGAATACCCCAATCGTTGCAGCCTCTCCTGGTATGAAAGATTGTGCATTCCAATCACGTTCTTATATGCCCGACGTTGTGGCCGCTCCATTGCATTAAGGTCGTGTTTCAGCCATGGATACCAGGCTTGAATTACGTATTCGACATGGGGGCGAACATATGCACTGAGCATTTGTAAAAATATGGAGCTGTTTATTTGTCCAAACGCCCGTCGCAACAGCCAGACGTGTTGGTTCCCAGTCTTCGAGGCCTTTTCGGATTACCTGGAGTAACCCAAGTCATCTTGAACCAGGACAACCAAGTCAAATTCGACAATTGATGGTTGCAGCACATTCGTTCCAAACCAGTATGAGTAGCTGCTCTGATGTCGGATGGAAAGTACCTCGTGTTTACACACGTAGAAATGCACTAAATGTTACGTTGACCAATGATACACCGTATGGAGGTTGTTGTGACGCCCAGTACGCCTTCGCCCACGACCGCAAGAAGAAGTCCAAGATGAACCGGGATGAACAGATTTTCTATTGCAGTACGGCACCAGTTATATAGCTTTACAACAAGGGCGAAGCCAAGCTACTAAACGCATGAGGTCCAACAGGCATGGAGAAAACACAAAATGGAACAAGCAAATGAGAATCTCCAAAATTACGAGCCAATGAAGTGCGGCAAAGAAAATAGTGTCTGCGGAGTAATTCCCTGGGGGTAACCTTCTGGTGAGCGACCATTAAAAACGACGAGTAGCGTCCAATCAGTGTGGAGAAGTGATGCGTTTAAACAAATGCCAGAACAGTTGATAGTGAGAATGAGACAAACCAGGAAAATAAAAACAGGTATAATAAATATGTGTCGGCTGAATAATACATCCACGTGAAAAGCTAAGAAACGCTGAACAAAAGAAACCAATCAGAATGTCCACAGAATGAGACGGCTGAAATTAGCTGTGAGCGGTTGCGAATGAGGATGAGGAAAGCGGCGTGTCCAAAATGTAGCACAGAAGCAGCTAACTGCGCAAACAAAGAAATAGGCAACTAACATAATTCATGAAACTGAGGGTTAGTAGCCAACTCCCTAACATCTCCCCCTTCTAAAAAAAGTTAGTTACCTGTAGGGAACATAGCTTTTCCGACGCGGGTCCACTTGAAACGGCTGTACAAATTTTCTTGTTCGTTGGGGTCTGTTCCGACCTTCTTGTTCCGGGCATTCCCTTGGTTGAGATTCTCGGCGTGAAGAAGCACTTGGTTTGCCATTGTCAAGCAACTCATTAACATCAAATCTGTTGGCATTCTGAACATCACCTTCCAGTGTACACCGCGGTTTCAGCTGATTTGCGTGACGTCTCCATACCTGCGCACCGACTTGAACATCGTACATCACCCGCCCCCGACGTCGCACGATGCGTCCTGGCATCCAGCTGATCCGTCGTCCCTGAATAGCCGCTGCAGATACAAATTCGCCAACTCTGAACATTCTTCTCCGTGCTCCGTACCGCCTGTTGTATTGCTGCTCCATTGCTAAGTTCCTTGTTTGTGGGAGAGGACGCCTGGGTGTC